TGTTACCACCTGTATTTCCTCTTTGGAGAAGTATCTGTTCAGGTCTTCTGCCCATTTTGTAACTGGATTGTTTGTTTTTTTGCTGTACTGTTTTTTATATATAACACTAAGCCAAAGAAACAGGAAAAGTTTGCGTCTTGGTATTAGAAAACAAGTTACGAAGACAGCAAAAAACACATACAAAAAGTATTTTAGATGTGTAGAAGATTTTGAAGTGGCAGGATGCATTTGAATACACGGTCAGTAAAGCATTTCCTGGAATGGAATCATCTTATGCTTAGAAGTGGCCTTGGAAACTACCTAGTCCAATTACCTCTAATATTATACAGTAGAATCATGACCCTATTCAGTGGTGGTCTTGTCAATCCACCCTGATGGAGCTGTATGACCCCGGTATGTATGGTGGAGATTTATTTTGTAGCATTATTCTACATTTTTTCCCCTAGATATCAAAGCAGTTCTTATTTACCCAATCCTAAGTTAATTAGCTTTAGCTGTTCTTTTGAGTTGGAAACAGGTGCAGAGACTTTAGAGGATGCACTCAAGGTCACTACAAAGGGACATGAAAGTATTAGGACATGAACCTAGATGTGTCTGACCCTAGAGACCGTGTATATTTAAAAACAGTTTTAATTTATTTTTTATTTACATACAGAAAAATGCACTCACTTTAGTTTACAATTGTATGAGTTTTGACAAATGCCTGAGATCATGATCCACCACTGCAATGAAAATGCAGAACTTTTCTGTTACCCAAAATCATTCCCTTATGCTGGCCCTCTGTGGTCAACCTCTCCCCCATTTCTACTTCTAGGGAACCGCTAATCTATTCTTTGTCCTTACAGTTTTACCTTTTACAGAAAGGCATATTAATGGAATTATGTAATATGTAGGCTTTGGAATCTGACTTCATTTACTTAATTTTCTTTATATGAAAACCACTGACGATGTTGCACACATTCGTAGTTCTTTCTTTGCTATTGCCGAATAGTATTCTGATTCATGAATGTACCACAGTTTATCTCGTCATCTGCTGAAGAACATTCATCCAGATGGCTTCCAGTTTTTGATGATTAATGTAGAGCTGCTGTAAACGTTTGCACACAGGAGTAGGATTGCTAGCTCATATGTCAAGAGCAAGTTAACTTTCTAAGAAACTGTCAAACTGTTTTTCAAGTAAATGGCAAACTGTTTTCCAAGTGGCTGATACTTTGTATTCCCACCTGCAATGTTTAAGAGTTTCATTGTTCTGTATCAGTACCAGCTCATGGAAGTATCAGTGAATTTTTAATGCTTTTATTTTAGCTTTTCTAATGGGTGTGTAATATGATCTCATTTTAGTTTTTAATTTAATTTTCCATAATGACTAATGATGTACATCATTTTGTGTGCTTATTTGCCATTTGTACATCCTCATTGGTTAAGTGTCTCTTCACATTTCTGCTTATTTTTTTTATGGGGTTGTTTGTTGAGTTTTGAAAATTCTTTATACATTTATGTATTCTGGATACCTGTGCTTTGTCAGATATATGAGTTGAAAATTTAGTTTGTTTTTTCACTATCTTACTAACATCCTTCATGGAATAATTTTAAATTTTGTTGAGGTTCAAATTATCAATATTTTGTTATTGCTTGTTCTTTTGGTTCTGTAGCTAAGAAAATTTAGCCTAACTCAAGGTCACAGATGATTTCTCCCATGTTTTCTTAAAGTTTTATAGTTTCGGATTTTACATTTAAGTCTATGACTCATTTTGGGTTAATTTTTACATAAAGCATAAAGTATGTGCTGAGGTTTTCATTCATTCATTTGTTCACATGTGGATGTTATAGTTGATCCAGACTATTCGTTAAAAAGTTTATGCTTTCTCCAATCTGTTGTCTTTGTACCTTTGTCAGAAATCATTGAACATATTTGTGCAGGTTTATTTTAGATTCTTCTATTTTATTGATCTATATTTCTATCAGTACTACTGTGTTAGTGTAGCTTAATAGTAAATCTTGAAATCAGATAGTGAGTCCTCTAATTTTGTTCTTTTCTTTTAAAGTTGTTTGGATATTCGTATTCCTTTGCTTTCTATATAGATTTTAGAATTAGCTTTTGCATATCTATAAAAATTCCTGCTTGGATTTTAATTGGGATCAAATTTTATTTATAGACCAATTTGGGAGAATTGACATTTTAACAGTACTCACTTTTTAAACCAAGAACATAGTATATCTTTCCATTTATTTATGGTGGCTCTGTGTGCGCACGCGCGCGCGCGCGTGTGCACATATGTCTTTGCATGTGTGCACATTTAAGGAGACATATGAAGGAGAAAAAAATAAACAGTCTCACCATTGGAATGGTCTTTCTACACATTTTGATTCCCTCCCCAAACTGCCTACTAGGGTTTACTTTACCTAGTCTTTAAGTGATTTTTTTTTTTTAATTCCTTCTAGGATGGTTAATTGTAATTAGTGTGAGAGAGAGTCTGTAGTGGCCTTACTCCATCTTGTTACGCATTGAAAGTCAGTGATTTTAGTTGTGATTAAGTCTTTCTTGCTTGGTCATGCCATAGAGTGTAAAGCACCCAAAAGTGGTTTCTGATTTTTTTCTTCAGTTTGAATAAACCAGCTGTGAGACAAATTATTGAAGGTAGGGTTGTCGAATGTGGAGGGTATGCTCTCTACATGAAAGTTCAAAGGGTTTATCTTGGGCGGATGGAAGCCTGGGAAAGAGGCTTTTTAAGTCCAATAACATTTATTTAGATTCAGGAGTTTCTTCCATTCTTGACAGTGTCATAATGTGTCACATAAAAATAAATGAAATGAAAATTGTTGTGACAGTTAGCAGAATCACCAGTGTCTGTCTGGGAGCATTTCTTAGTAGGCATTGCCTTGCTGACAAATAACAAGAGTTAGCTTATGACACAGGATCTCCCAATATTACCATTTATTTAGCACAAAAGAGAATACAATTTTCTGTGTCCGAACACATCTCAGCTGACTGATAAACTCCAGCACCATCCAAACAATATTATCTCCCCTAAATCTTAAGAGGGCTTATTATCAAAGAAGCTTAAGTAGCTTTATCTTCTAATTGAAATAATAAACAGATAGATATTCCATTTTATCTCCAAGAATTGGAGATCACTAAATGTGTTCTCTCAAGTACAATAGTAATTGTATATTTTATTTATATCCTACCTGTTAGGCTATTTGTAACATAGATACATGCAAAAAAATGCATTTGGTCCATATTCTATTTTTTAGTTATATAATTTATAAGTCTTCAAGGTTATTTTTATTATGTCGAGATGCTATTCTAGAAATCCTCAGACTAATTCTTTACTAAAGTGAGATGTTACAGAATAGTTTAGAATACGGCCTAAAGTGATCCACTACAATAAATTTTACCTACAATTATTTGATATACCTTGAAAAGTTTCATATATATCTTTCGTTCGAATAGAAATTTGATTCTATGATACTCATGTAGAAGTCAGCCCTATACTGACTTCTGAATGCGATCAAAATTTACATATTTGTGAAACCAGAAAAAATTTTTTTTCAGTCAATGGATTATACTTTTCCTATAAAAACTGTCCAATTTTTTTAGTAGATAATATCTTAAAAATCATTTTTTTAATTATATAAGCAAATTAGAGTATAAATGTCAACAAGGTTTAGAAAAAATCAGGGACTTCACAGAGATTGAAAGGCGTATTTTATCCACAGAAGTGTGCAGATATGTGCAAAAACCCAATACACATTTGCTCATTCATTCAGTTTGTACCCTAAGACTGCACTAGACTCTCAGGTTGCAGAGATGAATAAATACATGATTCTAGTTTTTTTTAAGCCCTCAAGTAGGACATTATGAACTGATTTTAAAATAGAATGGTAATTATCCTTTCAAATGAATATTTGGCCCTTCATTTAGTCCTCCATATAAGGGTGAAAGAGCAATTACATTGGACCCTTAGGCCTCTAATGGATGAAACATGTCGCAATATATATGTAAATGCTTTATTCATTGTATCTAGCTTTTTGTAGTTTACGGATTGCATTTGAGTTATATATTTAATTGTCATCATAATATTCTGGATAGATCAGGCATGTATTAAAAGCCCTATGTATAGTTAATGGAAGCAAAATGCAAAGAAATAGTATAAATTTACATCCTAGACACAATTGAGAAATGCTGGCTCTGAGACTCCAAGGCCAGTACTCCATTTTTAAGAACTGTTTCTCAAAAGGGAAGAGCCTGTCCTGCTGATTCATAATCCTGGGATTAAAATTCTCATGAAGTACAGATTAAGATAATATTGTTTAGTTAGCTGGGAAGCTGCATAAGTTTTAGTATAAATGTCACCTCTCCTGGGAAACTTACCTTGATTAGAACATTTAGGATTCTCATTGACAAACTCTTGCAATTACTACTATAATAAATTAACCACTTTTTAAAATTGTA